ATCCAGCCATCGTGTCTGCATTCGCAGGTCGACATCATGCAAAACGCCACCCCCTCTCTCGCGAACTGTCAGAAAAAAAGACGGAGAACACCCGTGTGGAGCGCTAGTGAGACTCGTAGACTTATATCTTTGATTTGTAAAATGTCCCGTGACTGAAAATGCTTTTCAAAAGAAAACCCACCACTTCAGGTTGACTTTGCACCGGTCCATTCTCTGCAGACTTATTTAAATATTGTGCGGGAAAGACAGATGCGATCGGTTATCCAGATAGAAAAGTCAGTTGATGTTGCCAAGTGTAAACGCGCAGTGTTCTGATTGACTGATGATCCGATCTGCTTGATCGGATCACGGTGATCAGATCATATTAATGCCAAGTGTAAACGCATCCATAGTGTCTACTATAGTTTAAGTGCATGTACATATCTCTTGTTTAATTCTAATAATACTAAAACTGCACATGCACAATGCTTGGTTTATTTGACTGTGTGTGTGTCATTAGATGCAGCAGATCGCATGTGTTATGAGAAGCTGAACATTGAAGGTACGGAGCGTGGCAACTGTGGTCAGGACAGCAGCTCACACAGCTGGATTCAGTGCAATAAACAGTGAGTATATAAACAACCAGAACACTGTTTTAACCTTTTCAGTGATATCATTATTTCTCCCTTTGCTGGAAAGTTCATTTTTTCCCTCTTTGTCTGTGTTCCACTGTTGTTTCCGTGTTCTTTCACAGGGATGTGTTGTGCGGATTTTTATTATGCACTAATATCACAGCGAAACCACGGTATGGAGACTTAAATGGAGAAATCACAAGTCTTACCATCTACCATCAGAACAAGTACCTGGATTGTTGGTAAATGCATACATTTTTTCTTGGGTATAGTTAATTATTTTAAGCATGTCCAGATAATTTTACTGGAAATCAAGATGCTGGTTAAAATGAAATTAGGACTTTGACTGCTGCATTTGGTTGCTGCTTTTGCAGCACCTCACACCATGAGTGTCTTAAAAATAGCTCTTTTAGTTTAAGATATAACCCAATCTCATGAGAGGATGCAATTACTTTATGAGTTGGTTTCTTATGAATTTGTACAATGTGATTCATACGGAAACAAACTCTAAATCGTTAAATTCATCAGTGGGCAAAAAGCAAAAAAAACATACAGATGAGATTGTACAAATTCATTTGAAATAGTTAAAAATTGCCACGAGAGTGTGTTAGAAAATAAACACTGTTTATCTCCAGACCCCTCTGTTTTATTCTATTTAAAGGAAGGAGCTCCAAGTAACCATCCCTACTTTGCAGTGTGCATTAGTGTGTAAAACTGAGCTGTTTGTTTATGTTCAGTGGGGGTCATGCAGTTCGGATCACAGTGATCGCATGTTAATGCCAAGTGTAAACGCAGCCATAATTAAGCAGGGCTTTCATGTTGTGTGTGCTGAAGCTCCTCCGCACGAGCGCGATCTTGCTTCTGAATTGCGAATAGCAAAAATGTATCATAGACAAATGTTTGAATATTATTGCATATAAAAACAGCTGGCGACTCTGGTGATATAGAATTTGCAAGATAATGTATATATAGCAATAATAAATGTATGTGTGTTTTCTTAATTTCTCCAGTACCGATAGCAGAACCGTTAACGTCAAAGCTTATCGATACTCCGGTCTTTCATAATTTAGCCCCGGGACCGATTAAATACTGGGTTTCGGTACCCATTCCTACCTGGGTGTGGCTAGTGAAATTTAATTTATTACTTCTAAATTACGTTTTTTGACCTCAGAGAACAGTGCAATAATAATTGAAAAAAGGCAGTTTACGGCCCTTTAAAAAATAAGTTCAAGAAGTGTTATAACTAATAACCTGATGTCTTTGATAGTAGCTCTCTTTAGTGGGTCCACTTGCAACATGAGCATAAGTAGACTGGCCACTGAGCGGTTGAGGTATTCTGGGATGTAGAAGACCCCTCCACGGATCTTTTTGAAGAGTGTGGGCACGTGCTCGTCATCAAACGGCAGAGTCCCACAGAGCAGTGCATAGAGAATGACGCCACAGCTCCAGATGTCCACCTCTGGACCAGCATACAGCCTAAAACACGACATATACGTTACTGTATGAGTATGTGTGCTTCTACATTGTCTCTACATGTCTATCAGTCTGAATGAAGCTGAAGTTTCCAGTAATGTAAAGAACAAGAAGACAATCAGTATTACATAAAAAATGTATGAAGGCCTGATATAATATTTATGTGCAGTGTATCCATGCAGTCCATACTACAAAGCACACAGCTAGCTATGGTTTGCTGGACTGCTGGTCCTACAAGCCAGACCTTTGACTATCAGAAATAAATAAATAGTTTAAAGATGAAAATTTCTTAAAACTGACTTTACCGCGGGCCATCTAATATGTAGATGATTTTTTTCTTCATCTTAACAGATTTGGAGAAATTTTGCATTACATCACTTGCTCACCAATGGATCCTCTGCAGTGAATGGGTGCCGTCAGAATGAGAGTCCAAACAGCTGATAAAAACATCACAATAATCCACAAGTAATCCACACCACTCCAGTCCATCAGTTAAAGTCTTGTGAAGAGAAAAGCTGAGTTTTTGTGAGAAACAAATCCATTATCATGGTGTTTTAACTTTACACCATCGCTTCTGGCCAAAATACTAATCCATAATAACGCTTCCTCTGGTGAAAAGTCCATCCTCTGTTGTTCTCTCACATCAAAATCCACAAACATATCTGTTTAGAAGTGTTTTGGACTGTTTGCTTGTAAACAGTGCTTGATCCGTGCATATTTCAATCCTGATTCAGACGAGAAACCAATATTATGGATAGAGGATATGTAGTTCAGCCGGAAGCAATGGTTTAAAGTTAAAAAGTCGATGGATTATTACAAACACACAGCTTTTCACTTCATAAGACATAAATTGATGGACTGGAGTCGTGTGGATTACTTGTGAGTTGTGAATTCTTTTTTTATCACCTGTTTGTACTCTTATTCTGACTGCAATTATTCACTGCAGATGATTCATTTTGTGAGTAAGTCATGCAAGTAATTAAAAAAATATGGTCCAAATCTGTATCAATGAAGAAATAAACTAATCTATATTTTGGATGGCTTGAGGGTGAGTAAATTAGCAGCAAAAGGGCTGTTCCTTTAAGTATAGCACATATCAACACTTTTTGTATGTACATGAGCTGGTTGACTATAATAAAATTGACCTCACCTTCCTGAGATGACCTCTGGTGCAGCGTAGTTTGGTGATCCGCAGCTCGTTCTCAGGAACTCTCCATCTGACATCATGTTTGACAGACCTGACAAGCAATGCCACACAAATATACTTAACACAGACAGTTTGATTGGCCAAAACTACTCATACAAGTAAATAAAATGTATTTCAAGGCGGGTATAAATACAGTGAAACTCAAACAAGATTTGACAATCTGGGAATTGTAATAAAAAATAGTAAAAAAAATTATTAAAGGGGTCATATGATGCGATTTCAATTTTTCCTTTCTCTTTGGAGTGTTACAAGCTCTTGGTGCATAAAGAAGATCTGTAAAGTTGCAAAGACTAAAGTCTCAAATCCAAAGAGATATTCTTTATAAAAGTTAAGAGTCAACCACGCCTACCTAAAACGGCTCATTCTAACACACCCCCACATGTCTACGTCACTATGTGGGAAAATTTGCATAACGCCGCCCAAATGTTCACGCAAAGAAAGAAGGCGTAACTTTTATTCTCGCTTTAGTATTGTTGTTGCCGCCGCCGCCATATCGTGAAGGCGCTATGTGTTTCCTTGTGAAAGCGAAACTACTTTGTTTGGCCTTCCAAAAGAGGACGATATCCGCTTCGTCATGCCT